AAAATAAAATAAAATAAAATAAAGCCACTTTCTAAGACAAGGCCAGAGATTGTGGATGAGGGAGCATTGTGGGCCTGCTGCAACCATGTTCCCTGTCTCATTCTGTCTTCTCTCATCTCAAGTCCCAAGTTCCGGGAAAACCTAGAGAGTTCTGTGTTTCCCCACCACCACCACCTCCACCCACTCCTCCCTTGATCAATGAGAGGCTTGCGCCCTCCCTGCCTCGCAGCTGGGGTTTGACCCTTGGTGTCCTGGCCTCAGCTGAGCCCTGCCATCCCCCTCCCAGATCACCTTCCAGGTGAAGGTCACGGCCTCGGAGTGCATCCAGGAGCAGTCATTCGTCATCCGGGCGCTGGGCTTCACGGACACAGTGACTGTACAAGTCCTTCCGAAGTGCGAGTGCCAGTGCCGGGATGCAAACCGGAACCGCAGCCTCTGCGACAACAAAGGCTCCATTGAGTGTGGCATCTGCAGGTGAGGTGGCCGCTCCCCACCCGCAAGCAGGTGCCCCACACAGCAGCTGGTGTCTTCACCAGGGCGAGGGTGCTGGGGTGGAGGGGCTGTTCCACATCAGGAGCGCCCTGACCTGTGTCCCTCTGGCCCAGGTGTGACGCTGGCTACATTGGGAAGAATTGTGAGTGCCAGACGCAGGGCCGCAGCAGCCAGGAGCTGGAAGGAAGCTGTCGCAAAGACAACAACTCCATCATCTGCTCGGGGCTGGGGGACTGCATCTGCGGGCAGTGCCTGTGCCACACGAGTGACGTGCCCAATAAGAAGATCTTCGGGCAGTTCTGCCAGTGCGACAATGTCAACTGCGAGCGCTATGATGGGAAAATCTGCGGGGGTGATGGTGAGTGCCTGCTGGGGCAGAGTGGCCGGTGGAGACAGAGAGTCAGACCTGTAGTAGCAGGTCTGGGCCTGGGCCCTGGTGAGCAGAGGGCCAGGTCAGAGGGTCTGGGTGAGAGTGACTCTGTGGTGGCCTTGCTGTCTTCCAGATCGGGGGGAATGCTTCTGTGGCAAGTGCCTCTGCAAAGCGGGCTTCGAGGGCTCAGCCTGCCAGTGTGAGCAGTCCACGAACGGCTGCCGGAACCCTCGGGGGTCTGTGTGCAGTGGCCGGGGCCGGTGCCGCTGCAACGTGTGCGAGTGCATGCCGGGCTACCAGCCGCCCTTCTGTGAGGAGTGCCAGGGTTGCCAGATACCCTGTGGCGAACACATGTGAGTGAGTGCTCCCACGGCAGGACCCGTCTTGTCGCTCTCATGAGCCCCCTGTGCAAACCCTCTGCCTGCCCAAGGCCCCGGGAAGGCACAGGCTGCCTTGGGCCCCACCTGTCAAGCTGCTAGGCCCCTGCCCACCTCACGCCCAGGAGGACACCCTCCTACCTTGGCCACACAGGCACCAGGACCAGCCCCACCTGAGCCGCCCTGGTGCCCAGACAGCAGCACACCCTCCCCGCCTCACACCCCCTCTCTTACACCACTTCACTCCCTCTTGTGCACGCGCTCACGCCGTGGCTTCTCCACAGCTCCTGTGCCGAGTGCCTGAAATTCGACAAGGGCCCCTTTGAGAAGAACTGCAGTGTGGCATGTCAGAACCTGAGCCTGCTAAGTGAACCCCACAAGGCGGGTCGGCTCAGCACCCCCAAGCAGAACCGGAGGTGTAAGGAGCGTGACTCGGAAGGCTGCTGGGTGACCTACACAATGTGGCAGCAGGACACGGAGGCCACTTACGACATCTATGTGGATGAGACGCGAGGTGAGGCCCCACTGAGCAGGACACGGCAACCAGACCTCTGGTCCTGGGACCTCCGGTGACAATGAGGCTGCTGTGCAGGGTGGAGGCCTCTCCCCAGGGAAGGCAGGCCTCCTGCCCCAGGCCCTCTCTTCCAGTCCCTGACCTCACCTCACCATGGGTGACAGGCAGTGGATGGCTTGTGCCCTGGCTCAAGGGGACAGGACCCCACTGGAGGGACCGACCACACAGCCCAGGTGATTACTGGTGGATGCTGACCGAGGCCTGGATCCCCGCATATCAGAGCTGGTCCAGGGGCAGCTGTGTGGGCTGCGGACCATGTGTGTGCTCAGAGCTCGGTGCTGGAGGAGGGTCCAGGGGCCCGGAGAGCCCAGGCCCTGCATTTTCCAAGCTCTGCTTGCTGTCGGTTCGCTCGGCTCTGGGTACATCCCAGGCCCAGCAATGATCCAGACATGGAGACGCCATCCCTGTCTTCACCGGGTTATGTGCCAAGAGGGTGGGACCCCAGCCATCAACACGTCAGAACACCAGTGCTGAGATGGGGGCGGGGGTGCTGCAGCCGGGAACATGAGGTGCAAAGACGATGGCAGGAGATGCTTCCGGGGGTTGGAGGTCAGAAGGTCTCTGGGAGGAGGACACGTTTCAGTTCAGACCAGAGGAGGAGTGTGTCCAGACGTGGGGGAGGAGGGCGTGCGGTCAGAGCCGCTGGGCGCTGTGAATCCTGGGAGGTATCCAGGCCTCTTTCCAAACACAGCAGGATGCCCTTAGCAGGATTTCAGGAGAGCGAGCGACACACCTAAAGTGTGTTTTCAAAACCTGGCCAAAGACCCAGCAGAGGCCGGGCAGACGCGTACCTGGGAGGGGTTGCTTGAGGTCCAGGCACAGAAACGCACAGAAATGGGGCGGGCTGGGCTGGGTCTTGGGGACAGCAAGGACAGAGGAGGGCGCTGCCCTTGGATGGAGCACAGGGAAGGCATTAGGAGGAGCGGGGCACAGGAGCAGCATCCACAGGCCACCGCAGGTGGGGGGTTAGGGAAGTTTTGAGAAGAGACATTGAGTGACGACACAGCATGTGGGGGACATGGGGGCTCAGGGTAAACAGAACCCCACGGGATGACTAACGGCTCTAGACAAGGAGCACAGGGAGCCCACAACTCTCAGAACGCCACCCCATTCCCCGCTCAGAGAGGCCTGGGACACGGCACAGGGCTGGGAGGCCCAGCCACCTGGGTGACCACACCTTGCGTGGGCCAGCCATCCACCAGGGCCCTTGCAGGACTGAGACCTGCTCCCAGCTCCCCTCCCCACGATGGGAGCCCTCCGCGTGGCCTGGAGAGCACAGCCTGTCCACAGCCAGGTCCTGTCCACGCTCTGCCCTGGTTAGCTGGCAATCTGGGCCCCTCTTTCTCTGTAAACGAGTCCTCGCAATTTCACTCAGAACTGCAGGACCCGGCCTTGTCCCCAGCCCTGGCCCCTCCCCGGCTGTGGACGGGGCTGGCCAGCTGGCTCACACCTGTGTGGGTGAGCCTGGCAGTGGGAAAGCTTCCACCTGGGCACCACGCAGTGACCCGGGCTGGGGGCACACCTGGGGCCTGGTGGTCATGGAGGGCCTGACGCTCGGCGTCATTACTTCCTCCTCACCTCAGAGTGTCCAGAGGGCCCCAACATTGCCGCCATCGTGGGAGGCACCTTGGCGGGAGTCGTGCTGATCGGTGTCTTCCTACTGGTCACCTGGAAAGCCTTGACCCACTTCAGTGACCTCAGGGAATACAAGCGCTTCGAGAAGGAGAAGATGAAGTCTCAGTGGAACAATGTGAGTGGCCGTCCCTGGTCCCTGGGGAGCCAGGCAGCCCATCCCATCCGCCTGCCTGTGTATAACCTCCACACAGCGGCCCACCTGCCCCCCCCCCACCTCAGACTGTCCCCTGCTGTGAACAAGCCCTGTCACACTGGCTGGGACTGAGGGAGGGTCACCCCGTTCCTCCCTCCCCCACCCCTGCACTCACAAGTCCCACTGGCTTTTCTCACCAGGATAACCCCCTTTTCAAGAGCGCCACCACGACAGTCATGAACCCTAAGTTTGCTGAGAGTTAGGGGCACTCCATGAAGACAGAGCCGTCTGAACCGGCCAGATGGAAGCACCCCCAAACCACACCGCCTGCAGACATGGCTCCAATGCCTGGCAACTTCAGCCATTAACTGAAAATGCAGTTTCTTCTGCCCTCAAAATGGCAGATGCGGCCAGGTGACTCCATGGGCTCTCAGAAGCAGCCACCCTTCTTACTTGCATGACCTTTTTGATAGAGGCTTGAAAAAGGGATTGCCGGAGTCTGACGAGGTTAGATAACATGCTTTCCTCTGTAAAAGCCAGGATGGCAGTCTAATTAAACATGTTAAAAATGTATTTATATTTGCACTTATCAGGGTATAAAACCACATCCATTGATTATACTGGTCCCCATTGTGTGTGTAGAAACAGTAATAAGAAAAAGTAATAGGGCCGCCGAGTGGCTCAGTTGGCTAAGAGCTCGCTCAAGAGTGCGTGCGAGCTCTGAGCAACAGTGGTTCGATTCCCAACCCGAGCTGAGCAGCTGCTGAGCTGCCAAAAGGTGGCAGGATGGCTCAGCTAAAATAATAATAATAATAATAAGCTTCCATAGCGGCTGCCCTGGAAGCTGAGCTCTGCGCGCTACATCCTCCCTCCTGCTCCCTGCTCTT